TTACAAAAAATAGCGTCATCTTTCGGATTAGACGTAAAAAACATGGTATGTGGCTAGTATCTTTGTTAACAGATGTTGCTGAGGCCCTTCCTATGAAACCTCATTATTGCATTCTGAGTCCGAAAATGCAAAAAAAAAATTTCGTCTGGTCGTCTGTGTGTATGTATTCTGGCACGATAACTCTAAAACGAAAGTTCTAAATAATTTGGGGTTATGATTTTCTTGAATAATTACTTCTAACTTAGAACCCTATTGATTTTCAGAATTTTCGGTTCATCCTAACTACTTTAATATCAATTTTCTTAAAATCCGCATATGCATTTTTTATGTGAGAATTTTAGGAATTCCAATTATTTCTAACGTCAACATTCCTAATATTCTTATCATTCCATAAATTGCAAACATTCTCTAATAACCTGTCAAACAACAGTTGTTGATAGTAAAGGTGAAATTTCTAAGGCGGGATGCAACCTTCATACTTTCAAAAATAGCCATTTTAAAGGCTATTTTTATTCAAAATTAGTCGCCAAGCCTGCCAATTTATGAAAAATATATAAGCTCTCTGTCGCGACCCCATATAATAATTAACCGACCATTTTATTTGGCAAAAATCAGAATAATGCTTGGCTATGCCTGTCAAGTATCAAGATGTTTACTGTGATGTGTGAATGGCTCTTAAATGTCAAATTATTTAAAAATGTATACTTCTTTTGATATTTATTGCAAATAATTTGTAGTGTATCTTAATTTAGGCTTTCCATAAATAAAGGTACAGTAAGACAGATAATATAATGTTCTTATACAAAGCACTTTTTTATTACGTATATAAAAGAGAGGTAGGATATAATGCTGTTTTTTTGTAGAAAATTTTTATTATACGATTTTGGATTACATATTCAACCAGCGAATTGTAAATATTAATAAGTAAGCTCCTATTCATAAATTTTCTCAATAAATAAAATTTAAAAATAAATCTTCTTACCTTTTTTTAGAAAACAAATGTACTATGAAAGAGTTCGTTGCTGCGAACTACCCAAAATTGTATTGCATACCTTAAATTAGGTTCAATCAAACCAAAATAAACATTCTTTGCTGCAGCAAATCTCAAGTTCCTCCTAGTAGATCTAACTGTAAAACAACCAGTGACTAGCTTTTTATTTAAACCATCAACCATACACGAGGTATTTAAGCTTTAAATAAGAGTATATTGTTAAACCTAAAATTATTACGTTGGCATGACATTCTATCAAATCCAACTTTAAATTTGGTAACATATTTTTAAAAGTTTACAGTTTCGTTTTACTGGTATTCAGTGTTAAAGACCATTCAAGTTTGCTTGAATCTTTACAATGCCATAAAAATATTGTATCGTAAGAAAATAATGTCATGTTGGACTGAAATATCAAGAAATGCTAAATGATTTACATAAATTAGAAACAGTAACGGCCCAAAAACTGACCCTTGAGAGACGCTCCACTTAACATCCAATCAAAGTGAGACAAGTAAGATCCCATCCTGTTTAGAGCAATATCTTTAATAATATAATGATGGCTAACGTAATCAAAACATTTGTTAAGTCACAGAAGGCTGCTACAGCAGATTCACGTATGATAGTATTGTTTGAAATAGTTAAAAAAAAAATTGTGCTAGATTTCGTGCGAAATTTAAACTGATTGAGGTTAGAATATTGAATTTTTTTTAAACTTATATAAGTGAAATTTAACAAGTTTTTCAATTAATTTACCCGGAGTTTGTCTGAGAGAAACCGGCCTGTAGTTGGAGAGAGTAACTTTATCACGGCTTTTATGCAGTGGTATGACTTCACTAGTTTAAAAAAAATGGATATATACCTAATCTGAAATTACCAGTAATATTTCATCATAGCCGGAGGATGTTTATTTTTTATTAGTATAAATAATGGGTAAACCAGCAGTACGGGTCGATTTTAATTGTGAACCACACTTAAACGTCAAGTTTGGTGGATAGGTACACCATTGAGCAACGCGTTAAGGTGGTTTAAGCTTTTTATGATTTTGGGCGTTTAAATAAAAATGCATATCGTGCACATCTTGATTTTTTTGGTCAGCATAATTGAACAAATGTGCGTACAATCGGAAAAATTCTTCGAAAATAAGGTTATCCAAGCAGTTATCGTGATTGGTGTTCGCTATCGCGAGATGATAACAAACTTTTTGTGGCTGGGATTGGAAGATATATGGATCTGCACGATATGTGGCTCCAACAAGATGGTGCCACTTGACACACAGCTAAAGTAATAAATAAATAATGGCTTTTGCGCGAAAAATTCAATGGCGTGTTATTTCATGGAATGGTGATGTCAATTCGACCGCCAATGTCATGCGATTTGACACGTGTACGTTAATATGCCTACAACAAATCAAGAGCTTAAAGATGAAATAACTCGGCCCATTAACGACACTGAACCTTAATTATGCCTAAGCGTCATCAAAAATATAGTCCATCGAATAGAGGTGTGCCGCCGAAGCCGTGGCAAACATTTGGCCGATATTTTGTTTCACACATAATTGCCTTGAATTATACTATTATAAGGAAATAAAATTAAAACAATTTCCCAAATATTTTGCGTTTTATTTACAATTCAGATCGGCCCTTATTAATGGTTTACCCTTTATATCCTTTAGTTCCCCTACCTTAGTATCAGTTAGAACAAAGGACAAACATGGTTTAGTAGTATATATTATAAATAACCCATCGCGTTTACTTTCGAAAAACCAATATTGTTTCCAATTTAAAAATCATTGTATCAAAATCATTTGATCAAATTCTATAAGGTATGTTTAATAGAAATCGTTTTTCCGGTGTAGGGCTAATTCTAGCTTAAATTGAGAGTTTACTTGATGGAAGAATATCACCAGCGATTTTAGTTATGATATACATAACTTTTTTAGAATAGTTACCAGCTACAATTTAATACATGCAAAGAAGTTCACTTCTTATTTCGACCTAATTAATACAGGTCCTGGTAATTGCTAAATGATTTTTTTTAAACATATTTCTACAAATTTACCTCAGCAGCCAAATTAAACAATGAATAATTTGTCTGGCAAAGCTGATCAGAAGAAGAGAACAACAGTATTATTGAAACAAACAATACTCGTATAAATTTTTTTACGATATTAAAGAACTGCTTCTCTCTGTACATACCTACACCTATACTAACATCACCTTACCTATGAAATAATACCGCAACATTCTTATTCCATTTATTTTGGAACACTACACATTAGGGTGGAGCGAACAAAAATAAAATTATTTTTTAATACATAATACCTAAGAAAAGTTGCATCTACATATATTTAGCTATTTTATAAAATTTTAATTAAAAAAAAATGTCTTTAGGGCTCTACCTCCCATCAACAATTTTAAAAACAAAAATTTTGTTTTTAATTTTTTTGACTTTTATTACAAACTGAAAGTTGCCTTTACTTATAGTAAACTACCTTTCATCATATTGAAAATAAAATACATAAAATTCTAGTAAAATTATAAACCAAATGCACCTATTCACAAGTGCCTGGCATCAAACTTTTACATTAATAAACAAATCCAGAAAATCCCAAATATTATGTCACGAAACTCTTCAAACTTTTTTAATCCAGTTAAGACCAGTTTATAATCGTTTATGCACGGCGAATTGTGTAGCTCTAAGCTGAACTCAGTCTTCTTCTGATAGTCGCGGAGGTAAGATCTTTGTTCTAAGTTGTAATGAGTTTGTCAGTAAAGGACACTATGAGCAGTAGGGGAGCTACTAATTGTCCTATATTTGGTGCACCAGCGAATATACCCTCTAATGTTTTACCAACTGTGGAAAGCATCATGAAGTAATATTTTCTTATTTTAAATGAATTTAAGGTTTTGAACTCCGGTAAAGACCCTAGTATTTTAGAAATTTCTCAAATTCTTGCGAATGAAATCGAAGTGATCCTGGAAAAAGCTTCAATTCCCACTATATCGAAAAATCGCATTATACAATTAATTCGAGATATCCTGGGTAAGTACCAAACCCTTATTAGATATCCTAAAATTAAATGAAATGACAATTATAAATTAAAAGTTGAAAAATAAAAGATCCAAAGAACTGATTCGATATTGATGCATGTAAATATGCTTCTTTTGATACATGTGGCTGTGTTAAAAAACGCAAAATACCAAATATAAAGCAAGAATTTATTCACGATTAACGAACTGTGAGAAATATTGTTATTGAAAAAATAGACGTTACTGAAATAAATAAATAAATTAAAAGCCAAAGAAGAAAGAAAAATTAAGATCAAGGTGTATGCAAATCAGCTTCCTTTTAAGTTTGAAGTAGACAATGACAATATTGATAACTTTGAGCCAGATAGTATGTCTTATTCATTTGAGTCTGAGATGTCAGTAGAGCTTGAGAATTTGACAAAAAAACAAGAAGTTCTGCATCTGCTGTATTACAGGATTTGAGACTTATTTCAAAAGAAACATCGCCTTCAGTTATTGACCGAAGTAAGGTCCGAAGAGCTCGTCAAAAACACCGTTTTGATTTAAAAAGCGAATTCCAAACATCCACTCCGGAGATTAGAACATTATACTTCGGTGGAAGAAAGGATAAAACGATGTGCCAGGAAGAAATTAGAAACAAATCTCATCGCAAAATAAAAATCGAAGAACATACATATCATTGCTGGAAGAACTAGGTTCAAAATATATGGGTCACATTACACCAACAACAGGTACGGAGAAACATATTGCCATATCTACAGTTCATTTTTTACAAAAATTTTATATCAGTACAAATAAGCTTTTAGTAGTAGGCTGCGATGGTACAGTAAGGATGAATGGAGTTAGAAACAAAACTGAAACGTCCTCTGCAGTGGATGATATGTCAGCTACATATGAATGAACTGCCTCTTTGTCATATTTTTTAATATCTTAACGAAGTAACTTCAGGACCTCGTGTATATTCTGGAGCTATAGGAAAAATGTTGGAATTTCGCAAAAAATTGCCCGATGTAAATTTTGTTCCTATTGTTAGCCCTTTACCAGAATTAGACGATGCAGCTATTAGGAATCTTAGCACTGATCAAAAGTACTTATATGAAATGTGTCACTTAATTTCTAGAGGAAACCGTTCATTAGATCTAGCAGCTCGTAATCCAGGTCAATTATCACACGCACGATGGCTTACAAAGGCAAACCGTATATTGCATCTTTACATCGGAAGTAAATGTCCGGCTACAAATTTAAGAACAATCGCTGAATTTGTGGTAAAAGTTTATGCGCCAGTGCGGTTTGACATTAAAAGAAAATCATCGTATTGTGATGGAGGAAGATACGTCTTCAGAATGATACAGTTATCACGCTACTTGAACAACGAATTGAAGGCAGTCATCGATCCTGTTACCAAAGGAAATGCATATTTTTATCCTGGAGATATTTTATCCTTTTCCTACCATACACAGGCAGTAGAGAGGTGCGTGAAGTTTGTACCAGAAGCTTTTAATTCTGTTGTCGGCCATCACTCTAGAGATGAATTTATTTGTGCAAGGATTCATTCTAGAACCATACTACCTCGATTTAACACTAGGGCGGAATATAATTCATGAATTTCATATACTTATTTTTTTTCTCGTCTATGTTATATTGTTAAGTTGTACTCACTTTCGTTTATAAACAAAACATATTTAAATTGTTTATTTTCATTTTTATTAAAATATTTGCAAAACTGATACCATTTCATTTATTACTCCGTTTTATTAGATTATTCGGGAAACTAGGAAAATTCAAGTAGGTGTAGAGTCCTGATAATAAAAAAATAGCCCGTTAATCATTCTTACATTTAGCAACTTTTCACGTTCCGAAAATAAAATAAAAAGTATATTCTTCCTGTTTCACTCCACTCTACTACACATTTCCTAACCATCCTAAATATTCTTTAGTATTTTTAAATAAATGTACAAAATGTATAAATTGGAAAAGTAGCATAATTTTACATTAATTTAAAAAATAATATAAGTAGTTTCTCTTATTCTCACCAAAAATATTCTGTCAGTGCTATATTACTCTTGTACGCTACTGTAATCGGTAATAACAAGCCTCGACTGCAAATTTTTATTATTTGTGAAGTTTTATTTACGAAGTCAACCCAAAAACAATGAGATCTTTACTTTGTTCATTCATTTAATGAACTACACAAACTAAAGGGTCCTCGTCCTCGAGCTACACTTGAGTAAAATCAGCATTTTCCCTTTGTTATTGCAATTCCAGACATGTGTTAAAGTGGGAAAATATATTCTAACGACATTGTTTGGAAGTTCTCGAACTAAAACTTTTATAAATTCAGATTATCGAATAAGCAAAGGCAATCATAACACTCATAACGAACTTATATCGAATCAGTAGGTATTCTAAAAAGTTTTATGAATGAGGTCAATAAAAAGTTATTAGAAGTTCTAAAGAGAAGATGAAAAGGAATTCTCAACTACAATAAAATAGTAGAGAATGTGTTGTAATTATTTATTAATAATATATTATTAAGAAAAACTAATGGATTTTTATAGTTGAAGCATTTGTTGTTTTACGTTTATTTTTTATTAAAAAATGTAAAATGAAATTAGTGAAAATCAAGGATAATGATTTAAACTTCTGCGTACAAGAAGAAGAAAATATATTTATTGGGTACTTCCAAAGAGCAATCAACCGAAGTCCTTTGGTCCTTTACTTCTGCATATTTTTAAATATTTTGCTCTGATTTGTAGAATAAAAATCTAAAAGATCTTTGTGCCAAAAATACTTTTTTGTAAAATAATGAAAAACTTGAAGTGTATGGATAATACAGCAAATATTTATTTTTTCAACCTTAAAACTGTACAGAAACTGGTCATTTAATCTATTTATAATAAACAAATACAAAAACTGAACATTTAAATAAATTTGAGAAATATTTTTATACACCGAGAAAACGAGGTCTATTAAACATGTTTGATAGAAACAAATTTGATAACCACTAATAAATTACCTTATTTTCGGTTGATACCAATAATTAAACGAAAGTTGCTAGAAATCTATTAACCTGAAGATGCTGTAATTAGTCATTTGCTTAATAGCCAGTAATGTGTTAATAAAAACTTTTATATCCATAAGTATTGTTAATTCTATTAAATTTGTTTAATACTATTCATTAAACTCTTTAATACGTTCTATTGATTGTTTAATAACCCTTAGTAAATATTAACGGTTTTATCCCTTCCACCCGTCTATTACTCGAGGAAACTAGTATTCGTGGTCGAAGATCTACGATCACGATGACCACGCCACACGCCACTAACATAACTACATCCATTTTCTTTTGATTTGTGTTAATAAAAAGGTATCTTAATTGTTGCATGGTTGGATTGTGATACCTGAGCCGGTTGTTTGTTTGTAGTGCAGTGTGTTTTATGTACATTTTACTAGGCGCATAATGGATTATGATCTTAAATAAAAGAAACAATAGATGATGCATTTCATTCATAAAGTATGTTTTGTTTGGTCCCAATCATTGTAAAAGAGAAAGAAGATATTTTATGCGGATTGAAAGAAGACAGACTGTAATCGACAATCTCGTCTGGCAACGTTGCTGTTGCAACTAAAAGCTTTCGATACCAGTGGCGTATTTTATTAAGGATAAAATCATAACTAATTATAAAAAAATAATGAAATAATAACCTATATGGTGTGCAATAAACTTTATAATGATTTAAACTTTAAAACCGATTGGAATTGGAATAAGAGTATAAAGTTCAGTGGAATGTAGGTAAAAAACTTAAAAGCACTATTTTTTTTCCAAGAATAATTTAATAAATTAAATAAAATAACAAAAACAAGAAAAATAATTCAAGATTTATTTTAAACAAATTTACGAATCCAATTTTGGAGTTAAAATTTAAAAAGTTTTACAAATTAGTAAATAAGAAATTTTTAATTTAAAATTAAGATTTTTAACACTAATAAATTTATAAAAGTTATTAAATCAATAAATTTACCATACTTATATACAAGATGGGGATTTTAAATGGAACACTACTTATAGAGGATCTGGTAATAAGAATTTTGTAAAATCCGTAGACACGTAGAACTGTATAATAATAAACCTGCGTTAATGTTAGGCGTTGAAAAACAAAATATATTTTTGTTTAAAAAAAAATTTTTTATTCTTTTCTGAACAATATCACCTTTGTGTTTATACTTCTTACTGTATTTTTTCTTTACATATCCAACTTTTCTTGATATCTCATAATGAATGCAAATATTAAAATAATGTTTCAATATCAGCTTTTCTCTTGCTTTAGATATGTTAATAATAATAACCATATCATTTGTAAGTCTTCCATATGTTTTTATTTTTTGAAGCTGAGAGGTAACTACAGCTTGTTCCAATAGATTTAAACATTTTAAACACGAAACACACTTTTTTTAATGATTTTACAACAAATTCAGAGATATAAGAACATATAATGTTTAAGTCCCAGGATCTGAATTTTCTATATCTCTATGAACATCATTTAAAATGGTTTTATATTCCTGAGATTTCTCTAAATTTAAATATAAATATATATAAATATATATATAAATATAAAATTTTCTGTGTAAGATAAACTACCAACTTTCATCTTAAAAGATAAACACTTAAATGAACATTTCCGAAACATAATTAAGAAAGTTCTTAGTTACCTATATGAGCTTTCTCGAAACAATGAATGACTTAGTTTTGGCAGGCTTGAGATATTTCGTGCCATTAAAGTGTTCCTATTAATTACAATTTTTTGCGAAATTAATAACGTTGAAAGATCAAAGAAAATAATTAATAGTAAAACAAAAGTAGATAATACATGTGATGTTACGGTAAAAATCTTAAAATCTACACCACTGAACTATGTAATACATCATCACCTAACCTTACTTACTTATAAAAAGATACTTCAGCACCCAGATTTTCCAGTTTTTTACACAAAATGCACTCGCGACCTATGTTGTTAGCTATACACAAGCCGAAATTTTTCCAAAAAAGTCTAAAGATTAACAAAAACGCCCAATATGCAACAATTTACTGGATCGCAAAGTCGCAAACTATCGATGGATATCATCCGTGACGTAGAGTATGAATGAAACAAGGTAATTTTAAATTGCGGTGGTGTCACTTTTAACGCTTTTAAAATACTTGCATTTATTTGCAGCAATAATAATGGTTTTGCCATTTTTTATCTTAGTATTTGCAAAGTTGTTATTTAGCAAGCGTATGTATGTAAAAACGATAGGTAATAAGTGAACCTGCTAAGCTAGGCCGCTGCCCTTGGAAAAGTGTAACATATGTAATATTATTAGGCACAGCTTGTAAAATAGAAATATGGAGTTTCTACTATTAAAAAAAAAACAAAAATTAAACTGTTTGTATTCCTTCCCCACATTTTTATAAATATTGACTGTACCATAAGATGCAAAAATATTTTTTTCGAAACATATGCAGTGCTTAAATTATAAAAAAATTAAAAGTATTTGAGCAAAAAATCAAGAAACTTTTTATTTATATAAAATTCTACTATGGTCAGGAAATTATTTTTATTAACATTTATTCTTTTTCTCATTTAAGGAATATATGCTGGTAAAATCAGCTGACTTGATATTTTCGATAGCGATTTGCTTCTTTAGCACGTAACATTTTTCCCATCCTAATAATTTGCTAAAATTCTATTTATATAAGACTAAACTGGGCTCTTCTTCTGTCCTGGCAGCCTTAAAACTTGAGTAATACGAAGCTTGAGCTTATAATCACGGAAAAAAGAATGCCAAATAAATTATCTATTTGAAAAAAATACGATTTCCATAGTTATTTTTTGTAACTATTTCAAAAAATAAATAAATTACCATAGGTAAAAGAATGTTTCTAAACACGTATTTCTGTTACAAGTAAACAAGTTTCCTAAGTTTTTTAATAACCCCTTAAACAGTTAACTTAACTTAGACACCAGTTTGCCTGCTATAAATGAATGTTTCTGAAACTGCTTTAATAACTACAGAATCACATATATTTACCGTTAGTTACTTATGGTTAAAAAACATTCACTTATGGCTAGCGACTGCTTCAATACAGTAAGTCCTGACCGTCATTGAAACATCAACGGTCTAAAAGTTGATTAATTTGCTTTCTTATTTGGGTTAACTTGTTATTACTTTTACACTGACTTTTGTACCGGACGGTCACAGCTCACAGAGCAACTTAGGTCGAGGTAAAGATATTAATAATATAAATACACCACCCTCTTAAACAAAAATCACAAGAAAAGTTAACTAGCGGCAAATAAACCAAAACCAATTAGTAGCGTAAAGTGTACCAATGGTAAGAAACTAATGTACACTAATCGCAAGTAAATAGTTTATTAACTACAGGTCGTCTAAAAACTAATTGAACTGTTCACTAATCACAGGTGTCTAATTTTAGAAATCTTGTTTTATTTACATAAGTAAACATTTTACATATCCCATACAGTATACAACTTTTTTTTGCGGTATGTAAAAGTTCGTTAACGGTTACTGAATTTTTTCCGTGCTTTACTAATGATGTGTAAAT